ACCCAGCCTAAAACCTCAGCCCTGAAAATTAGGTTTATTGTAAGATCTTCAATATTTCCTTGTGATAGCTATTACTTCTACTGTATCTTCCTCTTGTAGTGATTCATTACAAGTTAACTAGTTCTTAACATTAATTTTCACTATTACCTTCCTGCTTCCAATGTGAATCATGATCACCATTGTTTATTTCGCCTATTAATGATGGTGTTATGAATGATCAGGGTTAACTCAATGACCTTTCATGAAAGTTGTAGGTAAACAAATCATTCATTTTTATAGTTACACTTATACAGGATTGGTGTTACTGATTAAAACCTTTACGAGGACCATTTATTTATAACTGACCTTAGTTTTATTTCAAGATACATAGACTGTAATTACAAATAAGGAACTAGGTACTGATTTTTTTCAATGAAATACGCATTTTTACTGCCTGTCAAATATGTATAGCCCAAAGAAAGTTCTACCATATTATTGCGCTTACTGAGTAGTTGGCCAGTAAGTAGTGCCAACAGCACTGTTGAGTGACAGGTATTGCATTATCTACTCGTAAACAGTAATTCCTACCTCTGTTTATAATATAATAACATGTAGTCGTGCGCAATTCAATTCAAGTTACCATGGTTTCGACAACTAGTTTTCTGCAGTGAGTTAATTTAGGCTCGTATTTGAAACGTCACTACAGGAACACTTAGAAATTAAATGCGAAAATGAAAAATGATTCTATAGCTCAGATCATAGTTCTATAGGTTAACAAATTTTTGCAAATCTTTCTGAGTGGCCGGGAAATTCTGGACCTTCATTCAAAAAACACTCATCAGGTCCAGAATAAGACAGATATAAGAAAATATATATTAGTGGGTGATGATTAAAATTAACCAATAACAGGCCTGAATTACATAATACTAGTTACTTAGTTGAAATTGACTTTTGATCCTAATCTTGATGTTATCTTACTGAAACTTTATTTACTATACACAGTGATATGATACTGATATCATGCATCAGATCAAAATCTTGGATTCACCAACCATTGACAATCACAAACAATCAAACAAATTTTATTTCATGTTAATAGCACTCGCGTAATTGCTTTTACGCTAACAGTGGTCAAAACGCCCTTAGTTAATGATCGGCTATGGATATAACCATAAAAACTTTTGTTCTGGCGAACAATCGCTGCCCTTGAGCATATATCCACGAATTTCGCCTTGAGTATAGCAAATTGCGTAAGTGAACAAAATGGAACGAAGCGTGTGCTCGGATTAAGTTATTAGCTCGGGAATTAAGATTTATGGTGATGAATTGTTGTTTAGTTAAAATTCTTACATTAATGCATGCTTTGACTTTAAGGAAGGTTGAGATTGGGTTTTGGGTAAACTTCCAGTCATTGGACAATTAAAGGGCATTGAATCGAGTATTATCAGGTAGACCGTAACCAATTTTTTATTGAATTAAAAAATAATTTCTATTTCAACAACTAAAGCTGAGTTGCACTTTCTTATTTTAACTTTAACAAACGCCAAAAATCTATCAATCTCCATACAAAAACACCGGTCATTATGATAGTTACGGTTAAAGTAAGTTGGTGCAACTCAGCCTAAACAGTGTTCAGTGATGCCAACTGATGGAGATGTTTTATCCAGTAGCTCGTAGCTCGTAGCGTCCGTTGACTGATACACTGCCATATAGTCTAAGTTTTTGCTTCAGTAATAATTCAGTAAGTAGGGACGGATGAATGTTGGCAATTCTGATTTCCACTCGCCACAATTGTCCTGTGAAACTGGGATGTTACTGCGTGACCTCTCATAAATACGAATCAGGGAAGAGCTTCCGGGAAAAGCTGGAATTTCTCGGGACTTGCAATGACGCTATACTACAATAAGGCTGGGTTCCACCATCGTACGTTACTGTAACAAACGTCAAAAATCTGTCAAACTCCATACAAAAAACACCGGTTATCGTTATTGTTGTGGTTGAAGTTAGATAATGCAACTCAGCCTAAGACTAGGCGCAGACCGATTTTTAGTTGGCCGATAGTTGGGCCCGATTTTAATTTGTATGAAGAATCGGCCAAATCAAATCGGTGTACTTAATGTGCGCACTTACTGATCAACTGCCCGATTAAACTATCGGCCGACGAAAAATCGATGGTCTGCGACTAGGCTTAGTGGAGAAAAACGATTATTCAAAATAAAAGTTATGGTTCGGTCAATTCGAATTATAAATACAAAGACAGGTGACCTTCCTGGTTTCAAAATATAATGCAATCAAATCACAGGTTTCAACCCATTTCATTAAGGTGAATTTATGGCGAAACACGTAGATAGTTTCCATCATGACCAAAGCGGCTGTGTTGTTTCTTCTTGGAATTCAATTAAAATTAATGCTTTAGGAATGGTGCCCCAGTGATTATTTGGAATTTCCATTCGCCACAGAAAAGTTAGGTAAAAGGTAATCTACGGAAAAAGAATCTTTAATTTATACTTAATAACACGTTTTAATGTAGTGTCAAAATGAATGCAGAATATAAAAACCCACCATGAAATAGGTACCTAAAACTATAACTTTGTTTTAATTTGTCCCCTGGGGAGTCTAGATGACAAACGTCATTAAACTTTGTACTAGTTACTTATTATTGACACGATGCATTTTAATTCCATTTATTTTCAGTAATATTTTATTAATTATGAAAAACAAATACCTACATTTAAACAAATAGCATTTGTTATGGACAGCTGCTCTCGTTAGAATAAATTAATTAAGGATGAACCAATCTAATATTAGCTTTTTTAAGATCTTTATTTTTAAAATTGAACACTATGCAGAACTTTGAAAATTACAGATTGTTGAATCATTTCATTTCACTCCGTTTTTTAATATAGTAGCATGTATAAAATTGGTGATGAAAATAGCGAATAGATAAATTAAACTTTTCGTAAGTTTTCGTTTCGTTTGTCTGGTCCAGTTCAATAAAGCCATAACTGGCGAGGTTAATCCTTAATCAAAACGGTAATAAAGCATTATGTTTGTCTTATGTTTCGAGATCATCTTGACCTACACCAAAGAACTGGTCCAAACTGTCTCTGAAGGACAAAATAGGACACAAATACCTATTTTTAGCTTCGATTTAAGAGTCCTGAGGGTCCGTTATTATAGGACTTAATATAGCCTAAACCTCAATGAAGCCTACGCCTATTCGTTGTTGACATTAGGACAAATTCTAAATTGGGATTTGTCCTAATGTCAACAAAGGCAAACCAAAGCAGCACTTTGGGAGCTGCAAGCAACAGGCAGGTCAGAAATAAACTACTTAATGCGCCTATAATGGAAGATTTTTGTTTGTTGTTGTCCTCCTATTTGCTACATTTAAATTAAATTATTTATTCATTACTCGCCAAAAATGCATCACACAGGCATCTATCGATGATGACAGATTCCTGTGTGTTTAATGATTTATTTATTCAAAACTTTATCTAACATAATAAAAGGCGAACTTAATGACATAAGGCATTATCTTCCAGTAAATTCTTGTGATGTGTCTTTCCGGTTTTTGTAAAGTACAAAGTTGATACTTTACGTTTAATTGGGTACTTCTCATTTACACTCAAATTTGATGGTCACACAATAATAGTTCATAAACGGTATAAGTTAGAACAATAACTTTGAAATCAGATGATAAAATATCTATTTAGCTACATACAAAATAAATTTTATCGTAATAGAAGCAAAAATAATACGAAAAAATCACATGAAACGATAAAAAACGGGGTCATTTTTCGCGTTCTCATCGTGTCACACCTTCGGTTGCAATGAAACATTTGGTTACTGCATTCACAATTTTCATTCAATTTGTGTGNGAGTTCTTTTTTATTGAGGTACTGATAATCCGTTTTTTGCTTCTTTAGCATTTCAGAATGCCACCAGTGTCACCCTTAAAACCAATTGCGTAGAATCTTGTAACTTAGTAGGTGGCGTAATCGGTAAAATTTTATCTTGTATTTAAGTAGGTACCTATTTATATTATGTTATTACTATTTATCTATGAAAATAAGACAAAATATATGTTTTATAAACACTTAAGAGTCATTTACAGTAGTAAAATTTGAAAAAATTATTGCTGTGAAGTACAGAATCACTTTCGTGGCATCAAAAAATTCAAAACGTTAAAGCTTCCAAACGAGACTCACTATTTGCCTGATTTACTGAGAATATAATCTTCACATCAAGCGCTACAATTTTTGTTTACAAAAAGTTGAAATAAGTTAGAAATAAAATTCGCCACGAAGGTGACGATGAGAACCGTGGCGATGAGAAATAGCCAATTACAGGAGATTATCAAAGTAGGCTTTCTTACAATTTATTTGATGAATGAGTGGGCCGTCTAATGATAGTCTGATGAGCACGAGCATTTATTACTTTCTTGAGCCATTCGGTTGAATTGATAGTTGAAGATTACCTACTAGTACATTATGTGCATATTTAAGGTTGTTTATTTGCTATCACGATAGCTCGAGCTTTAGTTTGGGATTAGATGTTGGACTAATTGCTTTGATGTGATTTCAGTACAGTTATGTGATAATGTATTAATGACTAGGTAATTAGATGGACTGCTATTATCTGTTGAATTGATCCAACGACAAAGTATGGTGGGATAAATACTTAGGCTGAGTTGCACCACCTAATTTTGACCGTAACTATAACGTTAACCGGTGCTTTTTGTATGGAGTTTGACAGACTTTTGACGTTTGTCAAAGTTAAAGTAAGATGGTGCAACTCAGCCTTATTATAATTTGTAATAGCAGTCTTGTCTGATTTAGTCAAAAAGTATACAGACATATCGTAGTTCTCAATAAGTATTCCCTATTCGAAATTATCAAGTTTGACGTCTTAGTTCAGAAAAATGATGAATTTATTATTTTAATTATTATCTTATGTCCTAGGAACCCTACCTGATCATCCCCGCCGTTCAGTATAAAGTGGCGCCCGCTCCCTTCACAAGGCTTAGTCCGTGTAGTGGTGCGCGCGCGCACTTGATCGAGCGTCAGTTGCGGTTAATTTGGTGTTTGTGATTGTGATCGACCGGCGCCTGATCTGACGGTAAGTTTGTTTTGTGATTGACAAATGAAAAATACATAGAAATTAATGTGTAAATACATGGAAATCTATTTGAACATAACTAATTAAATATTTTGACATTTAGGCCGTTTTTAGTAGGAAAGTAGAAGTATACGGGTTGATTAGTTATTCGAATAGGTGATAATTAAACCATTTATCTCAAAAGAGAAATTTGGCTTTGCACGTGAATATACATGATTAACTAGCTTATTTATTGTTATAAACATTTTGCTATACGAGCTTCCAAAAATAAAAAGCTTAAAAACATTGTAATTTTGTAAGTTCACAATTTTCGTTAATTAGTTTATGATTTCTTCTCTCGAATGTTTTGGTATTTGTAATAAGAGGAAGTTTTGTTTATATGCACAGATCTAAGTTTATAATGTGAAACCTGGGATTTTTTTTGAATTTCTTATAGCAATCAAGTCCTTGAGATGTAGGTAGACCCTTCTTCTAGAAGTAGCTCGATACAAATTACAGGTCTCACGAATGACTGGCTGGAAAATGATTTTCATGCGTGTCTTACATACGAAGCTGCAGTTTACAGTAATTAGTAAATTACATAGCGTATTGTGTGGTATTGTCGACAGCCACATGATATAACCGCACGAATATTCCGATGGATTTTATCTTTAATGTGTTTGAAGAGCTGTTGTATGTTTTTATGTATACTCAATAAATTTTGACTAAATTGAAATTTATGGATGCAATGCTCTCGTATGAAGAAAATAAATTAAATATTTTTTAAAATTTAAGACCGAATGTTGTATGTTTGTAAATACAACTTTACCTATAGTATTTCTTATTCAAAAAGCGACACCTTTAATGTTAAACAATAGTAGAAGAGTGTACGCTATTATATAAGTTTAGGAGAAATGATTGTAAATACTAACCAATTAATACTGACCAATCGACTAATTAACACATAGTAAAGTGCCAGGCATTATGCACTTTTCGAACGGTCGGAAGTAATTAATATGAATTTAGTACGAATTGTTATAAATGATACTATAATAATCATATTTACTTAACGGAAATGGTAGACAGCGAGCCAAATAAATTTCAATCAATATTTGTAGGATATTAATTTAATTGAGTAGCTGTAAAGTATTATTAAATTAATAGCAATTACCTAATATAAATTAGTTCCTTATTATTAAAAAAGTAATTTTCCTTTACATAATAATATTGGAGTGTTAGATGAAATAAATAATTATTGTATCTTGTATAAGTATCTAATCTAACAAAATAAGCTTTCGTAAGTGACATTAAATTTATGAAATTGTTTACTTAGACAATATTTTCTGCAGGAACAAATATTACAGTAGCTCATTATAAAAAACAATACTCATCACCTACATCCATCTGGTTAATAGATAAGATAATAATAATAAGCAGGCACACTTAACACAGGTATGTTAGGTATAAAAATCGAATTAAAATACTTTTATTTAAGGTTGTAGATTATAAGGATAATTTTTATTCCTCATTTCTATTTTTTGTTTTCCATATACCTATTATACGCTTTGAGGATGCTACACAAAAATGTTTCCTTAATTTTTATAAATTTTAATGACTTTGGAAACATTCTCTTAAAGTGATTTCGATAATTTGATTGAAAAATTAAGTTCAATTAAGTTTCATAATTGAAATTAGCCTTATTATTGTATTGCAATTATTATGTTGAATGATAAAATATTACATAAAGTGATTGTAAATAATTACTTTCACGATTTTCAGCACGTTTGCACTTATTAGCGAAAGTAAGTACCTACTTAATTAATGTGAAAATCACGATATTTTTTGAGTTTCACGAAAACTGTTGCTTAGAGATTAAACAAATTGGCTTATGAATACAATTGGTGCTTTAGACTAAGTGATAAATAATTAGAAGAAACATTTGTCTGACTTACTTCACATTAGAATCCACAAATTGGTTAGTAATTGAGAAACGACTCCATAAAAGTGTCAATTAAATGTCTAATTGTAATTTTAAATAAAAGACTGTGGTTTGTGCTGTGGTGCAGGAAAAATCCATTTTTAAGTAGATTCAGTGAACAGACTCAGAATAAACACGACCGTCAAAAATTTTACCGATTATTCGGTATTCGGCGTATGGCTAAATATAGATAGTTAGGTTGTCTAGATACTTGGAAGTGTTTGTTTTTAACAATGTTACAAACTTTATTAATAATGTTTACTCTATTTTCCAGTCGAAGTTAGCTCGATTTTCATATTTCCCTCAGTACCTAATTGGTTAATTTTATCTTCAGCTATTTATTTGGAAATGTTTTTCAGTAGACCTACCTAATTAATTTTATCTTCAGATATTTACAGTTCACTTTTGGAAATGTTTTTCCTAGAGTTTTCTTTAAGCACTAAGGCCCGATTCGACCAAACTTTTATCAGATAATAACTCCTAGTATAACTGGCAGCTGGCACATTGACAGTTTCAGTATGGAAAATATGACAAAACTGACGTTTTATTCTGAGATTAATATTTAGGTACTCTTGTTTGGTCGAATCTACCCTAAATAGTACATATATTGCACTTTCGGCTCTTCTCCGCTCCGCTTTGGTGGAAATAACCTGTCTGCTAGCTTCGCCGTTTCCGGCCGTTTGGTGTAGTGGTTCAGAACGGACTACTATGCCGAGAGGTCCCGGGTTCGATTCCCGGCCGGGCAGAAATTGAAATGATGAATTTTAATTTCTGTGACGGGTCTGGGTGTGACTATGTATAATATGTATGTATTTAAAAAAAAAAAAGTATATAAGTAGTATATCCGTTAAGCTAGCACCCATAACACAAGCATTAAGTTGCTTACTTTGGGGCTAGCTGGCGCTGTGTGAAATTGTCCAAAGATTTATTTATTTATTTATTTATTTATTATTTATCTGTAAGAAATTTAAAAAAAATTCCGCCCCGCTCCGTCTTGGTGTAAACCGGGCCTCATACTCCCGCACGGATATCAGAAGTTTAACATTTTTACAAACCATAGTGAACATAGCTATTGATTGTCAATTGTTACATTGTTCTGGCCAGTTGACCTGCTGTACTTAGATGTATGTACAGTTCAAAACAAAGCCTAGTATAGTTCTGCAATTCGTTTGGGGTAATTAAATGTAATTAAGCCTGTTCGCCTCAGACAATGTCAATCGAGTTTCCTTTGTGAGTAGCATTTGGTACAATGACTTATTATTTTTCACGTCGCACGTTTTTCCTCGACATGGTTACGGCCCGCGGCAGTTGTGAAACCGAATGCTGAGTGTTGAATGCTCTTTGACCGTGTTGTTTTAAAAGTTCATCGATAGGTTGCTGTAGCTAGTAAACTCAACGTATTCCACTTAGAGCACCCGCACAAATAGCCCTTTGGCTTATTCCATTTAGAGCACCTATTGTTATTTTGGGCAGGTGCTATTCGTGGATTTAAATTTATTTGCCTGCCCAAAATATATATAGGTGCTCTAAGTGGAATAGGCCAGGTGCTACTCGTGCAGGTGTTATTTGGGCGGGTGCTCTAAGTCTAAGAATACGTCGTAAACTCAAAGAAACAGTCAGCTGATGATGTCAAACTCTAAGCGCATTTCGCCAGCTGTTATGAGTGGGTTTTTTATTGCTTTGTGGTCGACTGACTTAATTCCTTTTTAGGAATCTAATGTCACATTAGTGCCAAAAAAATTTTGTTAATAATATCGCATATAGTTTATTGGCCTCAATTTTAGGATAATAAAAGAAAAAGTCGAGACGAATAAGTCTGATTGATAGGTCTTAGGTAATATTGTAAAATGTCTAATATCTTTTTATAAATCTGTCGACAGTGAATACATTTAAAGTGATTTATAGCTATTTGCACAGCTTTCTGATTCAATATGATTTTCTGACCACAAATGACGAGAACTTGGATCTTTGTCTTTTCCTCCATTTCATTGGTATCTGCACTGGCTGTTAGCACGTCAAATGTCAAACTACTTAGGTAGTAGGTACCCACGTTAGGTAAACATTCGCCCTTTCTTTGTAGTATGGTCTGGGTTAAGAGATCACGTTTTGGTTGAAGATAGTTACAACTCGTTGCACATAAGAATTGAGATAGCTTAAAATAAAGCAAAAAAGAGGCATGTGTCTAATTTACATGGGTTAAGTTTGTAACGTTATGCGTCACATTTTTTAAGGGTAAAATATAATTAAAACAGCATAGTAATAACGAATTAAAAAAACTAAAACTATCAGATACAAAACACAAAAAAAAATTAAACAAAATTTTATTCTTATTACTAATTTCTTAATACGGTAAATAATATTAACAAAACAAAATGATTACATAAATCACTTAAAACTAGCTTAAAATAAATCAATTTAAGTGAAAATAATTCATAACACCTACTTACCAATTGCACGTAATAATAATATGGAAAAAAATCATTGCTAAACATTAAATCAAAATCTACGCGATGAAAGTTGTATGTCAGATCTAATTAGGTATATCGGAGAGAAAGATGTTACCGTTTGAAATCTAAAACAGGTGCTGTAATCCTACCAGACTTACGCTGGGTTGCACCATCTTACTTCAACTGTAATAAACGTCAAAAATCTGTCTACCTTAAAAACAAAATCAACGGTTATCGTTATAATAACGGTCAAAGTTTGATGGTGCAACTTAGCCTTAGTAATTAATAGTCTAATTTAAATGCAGATCTAGATCATTTATATGATAATGAAAGTTATTTTTAAAATGCACGATATCAAAGACTTAACTGATTTTATTGGTTTTTGCTAAAAAAATATCGTGACTGCTTTCCATCATTAAATATGTTCGAATTAAGTAGTTTTAACTAGGTACATAATTAAAATGAAAAGACTTTGAAATTACTAGGTATTTACTTTTTTTCAGACAGTGAATTATTGATTTATTAACCTGATATACAAACACAATTTTTTCACAGCACCTAGGCATGCGTGATAATTTAATCTAGCATATTATATC